CTTCCCCGGAGTCTGTCTGCCGGCCGGCCGTGGCCCGCTGCTGTGCCGGAGCGCGACCCCGACACAGCGTCACACTGGCGGGACGCGTGGAGTGTATTTTTTGGGGGGGTGTCTCAGATATGGGATACCCGGTGTGAGTGGGATAAATAATAATAATATTCCGGAATAGTCATAGCTCATGGACACTACATTTTATGTTTGTTTGTCATTAGGAATAATGTAGAATCCCCTTCCCAAATGCCAATTGAGGTTTATGCACTTGTGGCAAGTCCTTTCCCAACACCCTGGCCTTTAGCCGAAATGCTCATGACAGCAATTTTGCATGACTTGGGCCCACAGCCAAATTTTTCCCTGATGGTTTGTTCCCGTCACCTGCCCCTCAGCCAAATTTTCCCATGATGGCATGTTCACGTCACTCGTCCCTTTTTTTCATGGCGTAATTGTTAGGTCATTTGAATTACATGTGTTAAAGAGTCAGATTTTATGCACCTGAAAATATGATGAGAGAATGAGTTGAGTAGGGTGAACAATTAAGATAAGTGCATATAATGAAAATGGTATAATTTGTAACAGATTTGAAGGTTGTTAAGGCATTGTAAAATGTTGATTGCCCACAAAATGAGTGCTCTGAGAGCCATACTAAATGACATTAGGAAGCTCTTGGAGTCAGCTGCCTGAGAGAAAAACTAGAAAGACAGGAAGCAAACTTATCCAGATCTCTATACTCTTAGCTTTTGAGTCTAATAATTGTTTAGGTAATGTGGCCAAAAAGAGGCTTTTCAGGAGCTGTATCTCCTTAATGACTACAGCCAGGGCTAAACAAGGGCACCCTATTTCAACAGGCTCAATCATGCATAATCTGATAGGATGCCACCAGTGTGAGGGTGGGTCTAACATGACGTGATTGGCCATTCCCCTGGAGTGTGTTGGTTAAAACCCTTTTGGTATCCAAGATTATTGTGAACTGTAGAAAGCTTCACCATTTCACATTAAACCAGAAAAACATGACTACCTGTCAGATAGTGTGTTAGAGGCAGTCCCACTGTATACACCGTCTTTCTTTCATATTGGCTGGATGTTTTACTATGAAAGTTAGGTATCCTTTTTCCAAGTGAAATACAGATGTAGATATTCTTTAGATCTTAAATTTATTTTTGATGTATGATTTCCTTTTGCAGGCGAGGGACAGATGAAGCAGATTTAGTACCAGCAAGGCAGGCAAATGTTCGTTGTCCACAAGTTGTCATCAAATTCTATGAAGAGAGGCTCACTTGGCACTCATCAACCAATGATGAGGAAGAAGGCAATCATGAGGCTGATTAGATTTTTATTTTTTAAATGTTAAGACCTCTCTTCTTCCTTTCAGTAGGCAGTTATACATGAGGATCTTAATGGTGTACTAGTTAGTATTTAGGATATATGTAGGAGAGCAAAGTACATGTGTCTTCATCAATTTTCTTTAAAAGAATAGGAGTAGGATCATCATCTATACCTGGGAGTTCCAGGAGTCATTTTTATATAAAGTCATGATGTTGCTTTTCCTTATTTTTGCAAGTAGAGATTTTTTGTAATAGGTCTGAAAATATTTTTATTTTCAAGTGTGGAATATAGATTGTACTACCATTTCACTTAAGGGTCCATGTCATGTGTTTTTTCGGTTTCAGTGATTGTAATTGTAGAGTAATCGAATCGTGGATTTTCTATGAACATGTGAATTTTCTTTCCTTTTCCACTTATATAGATGTTGCAAAGTAAAGTTTTATTTTATAATCCTCATTTTGTCTTTCCTTTTGAAATCTATAGTCATACCAATCTCACCTGTAAAACAATGTAAAATGGTACCATGTATAGTTTTTTTGTTTGTTTTGTTAGGGTGATTATTTTGAGTTTGTTCCAAATCATCATTACCCAAACAAATTTGAGTGTAGAAAGCATGTTTGTTTCTCTTGGTGCTCTGCTTTCCTGTTTTAAAATTCCCTCCTCTTCAATTAAGGAGAAACATCTGGCTAACTAAAGGAAATGAGTCCCACAAAAAGTAGGTGGCACTGAAACAAGTATGTGTAAAAGTACCTCTCTATAGAGATGTTACTTAGATGGAGATCTGTTTTATATTAATAATCAATGGAGCTTACTAGGCCAGAGAGTTATTTTCAGTGGAAATGTCCTGGAAATGTAACTTTATTATGTACGACATCTAAGGGAAGTGTATGACTTAACAAAGGATTTGTGCATTGAGCATTTTATATAAAGTCCATTATTTCCATTTCATTGTACTTTATTTCTCTTTTTTTTTACATGTTTTAATTTATTTTATTTTTATATATATATATTTTTTTTTACATAAGGAAGAGTCTGCTAGAGTAACCGTCCTCTCCATCGACACGTTACATCTATTATGGAGAGGTTCTAGTGTTTTAGTCCCCTTGTAACCACAGTACAAAAGTGGTTCTCTAGTTGACATTATTAGTTTATTGCTTGGAAATAAAGTAGTTAGTCTCTTTAGTGATTTTTAGAACCTTTGCATTAAAAAAGAGTAAATCTTAGGGAGTGCAAGTCTATGCATAATGCGGAAGAAGTAACGTTGAATAGAATACCAAGCTTAGGAAAGGAGAAAGGTGCATCTGTAGATTAAGCTTTTACTTTCCTTGCTAAATTTTAATGTACTTAGGATTACTTTTAGATTATTTAGTAGTTAAGGCCTTCATTATACAAGGGTACAGAACATGATTTGCAAAGCCTCCTTTCCTGATTTTTTCCCTTTAAGCCATCTGGATCATATGACTAACAAAAAAATTAAGCATTCAAAAATAAACAAGAATGGGAGTTACAGCTGACAGTACACAAACCTGGTGCAAGTGGGGTAAAGTATCCTGGCTTTTGAAATTATGCAGAGCTTATACACATGTGAAGAAGCAGCATTCTGTTCAGATTAGATATACTCTGTTCAGTAGGATACACTTTAATGATAGACTGACCTGTGTTTAAAGTAATCACAGCTTTTATGGTGTGTGTGTGTGGGGGGGGGGGGCTTAGGAGATGGAAACTAAAACCCAATGTAGGGGATTGCCCCTACATTGGGCCTCAGGCCTCGGCTCAACTAATTTTTGCATGGTCTTTTTTTTTTTTTTTTTTTCTCTCCTCTTTCCTCTTCCATATCTTCTTCAACCCCATCCTTTGTCTAGTTCTAAGGTGTAGGAGCTGTGCTGAAAGAATGAAAGGCTGGCTTTGTGTCAGTCATGAACTGCCACTGTGAGCCATGGGCACTGTATTCCCTTGGTTAATCGTCTAGCCCATACCCCTTATGGGGACCCTGAGGGTAGACTGTTTCTTTTCCCCATTTTATTCAGGATCACCATGGCCAATAATGAAGATTGTTTACCCTTATTGGAGGCATTAAAGGGCATATGTGAAATAACAACTGAAAATTTTAAAAAGGGAGAATTAGCTCACAAACCATCTCTCTAAGTAAAAAAGGAAATCTGAAAATAATTCCCCAAAATTGATTAATTTGATTTTCCGAAATCAAGTTATATTTTCCCACGAAAATCCGGACCCCGGATGTGTGACGTCATTTCCAGAACATGATCACAGCATTCTCGGCATTCATTACATTGTACAACATGTCGGACTCATTACAAGACTACAGCGGCAGTGAAGTTTCATCGGATTATTCCGACGAGGACATTGGTACAACTTCAGAGGGTGCCTATGTCTTCGAAGAGGAGGAATATCAAGGGTTGATGGTTGGACCGTACATGCACGAGCCTGACGCTGTGGATGGCGTGGATGTTGTGGAAGTTGTGCCAAACCAGCCAGACATGGAGTGGCGTCTAGACCCGGAGAAATTGAATGAATGGTGTGTGAACCTGCTTCTGTATGGTACAAAATTTCTGCAGGCTGAGCTCTCTCTTGTCTGCACCCGTGGCGCAGGCCTACATCCATTCGCGAGTGAAGGGGCATCGGTATTTATTTGTGTTGTGCTTTTTGGGGTGTACCTACCCTACCTCTGTGTAGTAAGACATGCACACTTGCAATGCACTCGGCACTGTCGTACCCACACAATGAATGTTTGCTACGCCGCCAAGCAAAGAGTTTGTTTTGCGCTGTGATCATGACAAATATAAATTGAAAATGGCCTACCATTTTGCAAATCACATGACGTAAGCCATTCTGTTCGCAAAGCAATCAGGCTTAAAGTGTTTCAGGCAAAGTACGCTGGTTGGCACAGGCTGAAATTTGCTCCGCTTGGCATGCACGAAATGTTTCCACTTACTTGCTCTGTCGCGGTCTTTTGGCCATTCAAGTATCTGGTGACATGGAATGGGAACAATGAATTGCTACACAATGCCGCAGAATCCTTTGTTACAAACTTTAATAGCTTGAAACTGGGACAACTCCATGATATCCTTGACTCGCGGGTGCACTGTGCGTATCACACTATTCAACAAGATTCTCCCTGGTTCTGGGAATGACTTCACAACCTGGGATTGCCGAAGAATGCCGAGTTTTGAATCTTCGTTTCTAAGGGCGTTGCTATGGGATTTTGGGGGATACCAGAGGGTCTCTTCGATTTTTTTTTTGCATGAATAGACTAAGCACACACATTGAACAATATTAAAAGAAAAACAATGCACGATAATTACTTCACATATGCCCTTTAAGGCTTGTCCCATATCGTATGTTAATTCGATTTCATTGGTTTTCCGACCTCTACCTTTCCTTTGATCACAACTCCTATTACTGATACTGATACCCCCTCCTTGATGCTTACTGACAACTCTATCCATTCTAAACCACCCACCCAAGTCATTCAACCTTCAGAATGCACTCCTTCCTCTGCACAGTCATCTTCAATATCTACCCCTCCCCCCTTATTACTGCTCTTCATCCTTATTGTCTTCCCTCCACAGAACTACTACACTCCACACCACCCAATCTCCCTTTCGCCCTCATCCTTCTGCTACCTCTACCTCGGCAAACCTTTTGAGTACTCTCTTTGGCCCAACGAAGTGGGATCGATTCTTTGTGATTCCCCCCACAGCCCCTTACTCAGACAATATCCTTCTCTTTCAACAATGTCTCCAAAATAAGTAGGCAAAGTTTCCTTTCACAGTCGTTCTGATTGTTCACGCCTTGTCACAGTTACGTCTGATCCCTAAGCTCGTACAATATCTACCCTGACCTGATTGGCAAATCCATTCCTGATGACCCTCACCCTTCTCTTGATATTTTTTTTTCTACTGATTTTCCTATCTTTACCAAGAACTGGTCAGACTGAAAATGACATGACATGGCCTCCCCCATGAAGCTTATATTGGTGGAGTGTCCTGCCCTGTCCATCCAAATCGACCGCTTCATTGTCAATGTCAGAAATGACATTTTGGCCACCCAGCCAAACACTCGCTCCACAGCCCACTGCCCTGTATGTACCCAATATGGTCACGACCATTCAAATAACCCTGCTCAGTCACATACATGTGCCAGCTGTGGTGACTCCCATAACGGATTTTATAGGAGCTGCTCTGCCTGTAAGCTCAAATGTGAGGTAGTAGTTCTCATTCAAACTAGGCCTGACTCTACCTAAGGCCAGATAAGCACGGCGATGAGGTTTTTCTTTTTCTTATTTCAAAACTCCTTCGCTACTCCTTTTCCAATTTTACAAGATGTTTCTGCATCTCCCCCAGTATCTCTTCCCCCTACCTCAAACCATTCTACCTCTACCCCCCTCCCCTAGTCTAAATCCAGATACTCCTATCTCTACCACTACCCTGATACCTAACCCTCCTCCTCCACTTAATTTGTCGCAGCAAAAACTAAACGTTTCACTTCACCTCCTACTACATCTTCTTTGTCTACTCCTTAGATATCTGTCCCCTCTTCTCCTCTTTACAAGAAAACCTTTGTTTCTCAGCCCTCTTCTCCCAACTCCCCTCCAGAAACTCTTGAAGAAATCCAAAACTTCCTAGACGTAACCCAAGGGAACACTCCGCTCCCTCATGCACTCTCCAAATTCTCTGCTCCTACTCCCTTTACATGTAAAGTATTTGCAGATATCCAACCTCCTCCTCAATCCCCCACCCCCACCTCATACCCTCCTACCCTCTCCCAACACACCCCATCTTTTCTACCACTCCCATCTGAACAAACACACGTGAATCCCTTCTGTCATGTGGCCTTCTCCAGATCCCTCCCTCCCTGTCGCTTCCTGATACTTCAACGCCTTCCCCATTTCCCCTTTCTCATTCTTCTACTTCTCCAACAGCCATCTTTATTTTCCTTAAACAATGTCCGTATTCCTTCCAGTCACAAATACACTACAATTCACCCAATCACTCTATTCCCTTAACCCTTTCCTTTTTCCTAATCTCTGCTCTGTTTCATTGCTCCCTTCGTTTCTGTTTTCATTACCACACTATCCTATAGTGCTCTTTAATCTTTGACAGCATACACATTTTATCCTAATCTTTACATCTTTACCCTTTTCACCACAACGCTTTACCATAATGGTCCAACACATTTATTTGTTTCCACTATTAACATTTTCCCTTTCCCTTTCCATTTCCTTCCTATTCACCTCATCCTTTGCCCTCGCCACGCATTTACTTGCACATATCTCTTAATCACTTGTATAGTACCCATGTCTACATAGACAACAAATCCATCTCGGGTATTCGCTACGTGGTAGTCTTTCCTTCTCACACACAACTTTTCCCTTCCTGAACCGAACTTCAATACAACAGAACATTGGTGTCTAGCACATTTAATTGTTTTAAGCATTTAATCATTACAACAGAACTATATTGTATCCTCTTAGCTATACAACGCATGTCCCCCCAATCCCTTGCCCGTTGTTGTCTTGGGGGGGCTTAGGAGACGAAGACTGAGACCCAATGCAGGGATCTCCCCTGCCTAGGGCCTCAGCCCTCGGCTCAACAAATTTTGCATGGTCTTTTCCCCCTCCAGCTTTTTGTTTCTGTCCCTTCTCCAACCCCTTCTGCTATCTACTTCCTAAGGTGTAAGAGCCATGCTGAAAGAATGAAAGGCTGACCTTGTGCCAGTCCTGCGAGAACTATGGGAACAGTACTCCTGATTTAATTGTCTAGCCCTTACCTTCAAGCGAAAGGAGGTGAACCGTTTATACAACTTTATATAATCAAGGTTCCCCATGACCAGTAATGAAGATGTAATCCCCTTATTAGGGGCAATGAGACTTGCCCCTTTATCAAATAGCCCCACCCCAGGCTCTCCTTTGACCACGACTCCGAACACTGAAACGACTACCCACTCCTCAATGCCTACTAGTGCATTACCCACCCAAGCAGAGACTCAATCTCCAGAAATTCCTACCCTCCCAACTTCCTCAAATTCATCAACTCTACCCCCACAACCTTCATCAAGCACCCCATCCTCCCTTATTACTACCTTACAGCCTTATTCTCCATCACTCCGTAAAACTCCCTCTTCCACGCGTCCCCGACCATCCACCACCACCAACCCTAC